TCCTTTTTTTTTTTTTTTGTTAATAAAATTCTACACATTATTTGGACTTTTAAAAATAAGTCTACAAATACTAGCAATGTGCTGTTTCTAAAACAAAACTTCCCAAAACTTTGCCTTCCTACTCTGCTCAATTTTAAGGATTGTTGAAATAAGTTCCCTAAAATTTTACTTACGTTATACCTTTGAACAGAATATGCATTGAAATATTTTCAGGCTTCCACATTGTAGTTGTTCTTTTTTTGCAAAGCTGTTTACAGTGTTCCTTCTACAAAGGAAACATTTCCGTAATTGCATTCCCGATTTGAACTTTTAAAAACTTTGTTCTATGGGTATATTTTCCCTCTAATCTCAGTGGAAGAAAAAGGCATTTCTGTCTAGCTCTGCTGTCTAAAACTCTTACTTTTGCTTTAGCAAATGTCAAAAGCCTATGGAATTCGCTTTCCGCAAACACAGAGTACGGTAACATGTTTAGTTCATCAAAACTCAGTATTTCACAGCTGAGAGCTCACAACTAAGATGAGAAATGATGAAATTCGTAGCTTAAAACGTACTAAAACACAAAGTTTTATTTCCTCTGTGCACCATTTTCACAGAATAAACACCTGCTGCTTCCCAGTGCAGCCGTGCATTCGGAGAGGGGGTGCGCGGCGGTTGTTGGCACGCTTGGCTGGGTGCCGGGGAAGGCAGGAACAAGGAAACGACTAAAGGAAATGAATAGCCAGTATTTGTGCAAAACACCAGAGGGGTTTCCGGCACCCCTCGTTTCCCGGGATAACAACAGAGGGCAAGGCTACTTTATACTACGCAGTATGCCTGAAAACGGTCAGCTAAACATTTGGTTTGTCTCCCTGAGCACGCTCTCTTCTCAGTTAAGAGAAAGAGAGTGCAATTTTCTCTTGGCAAATACCCCCAAATATGCAGATTGTGTCCAAATTCTGGTAAGGGCTGGAGGGCTGCCAGGACTCCACAACCTTGAAGCTGAATTGAATTACTTGGTAATTTCAAATCTGCTCGTCTTTTTCTTTGAAGAGATGAACGTGTTCATCTCAGGCTGAAGACAGGAGTCAAAGGTCTCTCCACTCTCTTGTGCAGCCAGTGTTTACAGACAGTAAGGGCACAGGTGGCCTAAAGCATCTGTTCGAGAAAGAAAAACCTGAAATGTGGAGCCCATCACCTTTGGAACCCCAGTAGTTTTTTCCCCACTGAACCATAAAGGGCTGAAACCGCTTTTCCACCAATCTGTACCTTGGACAAGGCTGTAAAACCTGCTGCTGTGAGGGAAAGATTATGTATTCACCCTTCTCCCGGGTTGCAGTGCAAAACATTCTTCGGTACCTTCATCTGATGTTAGCCAAAGCAAAGGCAAACTTGAAAGAAAGCCCAGGAAAAAAGAGGGCCTCTGGGGTCTGGTGCATCAGCCGGTGTCGTACATGCTACAGATTGCCTTCTCAAGCCCCTCTGCAGCACCCTGCTTGTCTGAAAGCATAAAAATGGGATTTTATTCTTATAATTGGTTTCAATAATGTTTATTACCAACCTCAATTATCCGTTCATCGTTTAGTGGCAATTTGCTATTTTGTGAGTTTATGAATACAGCCTATTTAATACATGTTTAAGTGCTCTGAAAGCAAGGGAAATTGAAAATTAATTCAAATCCAGTGTTAAGTGAAGAAGTTAGCCCCGCTCTCGTATCCACATGGAGTTTTCGGTCTGGCACTACAGAACTTCCTCTATGGCCAGGGAAGCTGCTGAGCCACTTCCAAAGAGCACTTTTCCAAATGGCCTGTTACCACTTACCGAGTAACCAATACACAGGTCGTCCTATGCTAACAGCGCTGAGGTATCATAAACATTAGTGAAGTTATAAGTTATTATAGCAATTGTAATTTCACTGCTGAACAGTTTACTAGATTAAGGGTTGGAGTCTGCCAGTATGCTTAATTCTAACAGAATAGGCACATAATTAAACAATTAACAGACTTAGTTTGGGAATATCCAAGTTTGTTCCCTGCTTTTAACACATAAAATGACAGTTGCAGTGCTTAGCAACTCTTTAAAATAAAAAGCCATATAAAATTCTCATATTCAGAATGGCCAAAGCAGTAAATAGATTAGTAACTTGCTTAAAAGTTATTACCAATGAGTAAGTAAAGGTGTTGCAGTTGGCAAGGAAGAACCATGGATTATACGAATGATGGTGAAGTCCATCCCCTCTGGCACTTGGGCATGCACAAAGATGGGCAACGTAGTTGATAGTTACTGTAAAATTTTAGAAGGGCAGCAATTTGCAGCATTGAGCAGTGCAAGTCCTGAACTACACCGCAGTTAAGCTTTTAACAAGCACAGTTGTGCATGGTGTGAGTGTTTGGTAGCTGAATGAATCTAAGAAGTCCTGTTACAGTCAGCTTCAGAAAGGTGATTTATTTCAGTTAGAAACCAATGCCAGAACAAAACGTTTCACTGACTCTACCCATATTACCACAGTAGGCTTTACCAGACAGAAGTTAAAAACAATTTTATTTTCCTAAACCCTGGTGAAAGCCACCAGATGTCGAAGGCTCATCCCATTAGGTTCAGCAGCAGCAAAGTAACAGATCTCAGCTGATCCAAACTGGACCAAATATGAGGAGAGATGGTGACAAGGCACACTTTACAACACACCTGAGGTGTGTTTAGATTTTGGCAGGGAAACAAGGTTTTTGATCGAAGAGGCACTAAGGCCTGAAAGGTCAGTCGTGTAGTCCACCAGAGTATCTTTAAAGTCTGATTGCAGCTGGATTTACTGTAAGAAACGTGACTCTGCAGCAAGACTGAGCAGGACAAAATTACACCTTTGACTTCACAACTAAATAGGATAAATATCTTCTAATAATGTGGCTTTAGGTACTTCATATACAGTAATGTCACTTTCCTAAAGAACATACG